GGACCGCCGCTCCCGCCTGAGACTTCCTCCCAATTTACTCAGGATCAGCGCTCCCGCCTGTGACTTCCTCGCAATTTAGTCAGTCCTGCGCGTGGTGACCACCGCGGTATAGCTAATGTAATGGGGTCCCAGTGCCGACTGTCGCATCCCATTGACAGGTGCCAGAGCTCGCTGCCTCTGATTGCTGTTTCGCCTCCCACTTCTCGCTGAGCAGCGCCAAAGCCAGCTACCACTATGCGTTTCCCCCGCTCGCCGTGAATGCCGCATGTCGTGCCGCAACAACAAAGCCCGCGGCCCCTGCTGGTTTCTCTCACCCACCCTGGCCCTGCAGCGTTCTAGGAGATGGCATCGGGCACCACATTCGCCTCCAACACCTCGCCGAGCAGCACCAGAGGTGTTACATGGCGCTGTTTATGGCGCGACCCATGGCGAAACCTTTGTTAACCTGTGTTGAAATGGCTGACGCAAGCCATGGCGCAAGCTGAATCGCAACTCGCGGCACAAAGCATCGTCGTCCTTCCCTCGTGTCCCTCTAATCCCTCCCTTCCTCCGATCCCGTCGTCATATCTTGTCTTTCCCCTTCCGTTTCCTTGTTTAGGGGCTTCTCCAAGTACACGTGGCCAGGAAAGAATATAACCCCCCATCAGGGGGGCACGATCGAAGACGAAGAGGGAGGGTATCCAGGGTTTGGGATACGCATAGTGAATGACACGCGGGCCGGTAGGAGCGAACAGTCTTGTAATGATTGTTGTTGGTGGCGGTGTTGTTGTTGTTGTGGAGGTGGAGGTGGTGTTGGTGGTGGCGGTTGTTGTTGTTGTTGCTGTTGTTGTTGTTGTTGTAGTTGCTGTTGTTGTTGTGGTTGTTACTGTTGCTGTTTGTTGCTGTTGCTGTTGATGTTGCTGTTTCAGCACAGCCCTTGGGCCCCTGGCGGCGGGCCCACAGAGGGCGCCCGAGAGAGGCGGCGAGCCACGCAAAACAATCGGGGCTCGGCCAGTGGGGCCCAGGCCACGCCGCTGGGGATGGGGATCGCTTAAACGGTACGCATGATCGCCCCCTTTTGTTCCCCGTCCTCCGCCGTCTCCGCGTCCCTTCTCTCCGCCCGGCCCCTCTTCACGCTCCTGCTCTTCCTCGCGCCAGATCTGGCCCTCCTCCCCTGGCGTCCTCCTCCTCCTCCGCCTGCTCCTTTCTCCTGGTCCGCACCTGTCTCCACCTCCTCGTCCTCCTCCTTCTCCTATTCCTTCTCATTCTCCCTTTTCTGACTTCTCCTCCTCCTCCTCCTCCTCGTCCTCCTCACTCCTACACTCCCTAAATATAATTTCTCTCGAACCTGCAGGTGCCTCCAATGTCCTCCGACGCTCCCGAGGGTCCACGGAAGTAGTTTCCAAACTTCGACAACGCTCGTCGTTTTCCTCGTCATCCTGTGTTCGTCCTTGTCCTCCCCTGTTCGGGTCGGACGGACGGGCGTATTGGGAACGGGGAGGGGCCACGACGTTTGCTGCATGCAGCTGGTTTCGGCCCCGCCGCCGGGCAGCTTCCTCGATACGGGCTCCCCTCGGCCGCCGCGTGGCGCTGGGAAAACATGACCTGTGAGCCGATTCGCTGCCCCTCCCTTTCCTATGTCCCTTGCTTCCGATTCCCGAACGCCTCCGAAAGGCGTGCCCGAGCCTCCGAAACCACTCCTCCTCGTCCTCGCCCTCCTTTCAGGGGCGGCGGTCGGGGGGGGTGGGCTCCGGGGGGGGGGGTGCATTGACCCCCAGTCGCCCATCGGGGATCGCCGAATATAGCCCGCACCGCCCAGGATCGTGCGAAGTGTTTCTTTTCGGTGGCTTACCGCGCCGATTCTTCCATGCATCGCCGATTTCAGGTGGATGCCCTCCCTCCTCCTCTCCTCTTTCTGACTCCTCCTCCTCCTTCTCCTCCTCCTTCTCCTCCTCGCTCCTCCTCCTCCTCCTCGCTCCTCCTCCTCGCTCCTCCTCCTCCTCTTCCTCTTCCTCCTCCTCCTCCTCCAGGTCGATGCTCCCCCTTCTGAGCCGGCCCCCCCCCGCCGATAGCCCCCCCTTCCTTGTGCTGATCGTTCTGCCGATTCATCATCGGCCTCATGCCCTCGCCGGGGTGCTGCTCACCAGCTTCGGGCCACGCGGGGGCCTTGTCCCATTCCCGTGCGCCTCCGAACGCCGTTCCCGCAGTTCCGAGACCACTCCTCCTCGTCTTCGTCCTCGTCTCCCGCTTCGGCCTCTTCGTAGCAATTTTGGCTCCAGACAGCAATGTCCCTTGCACAGGAGGTCTAAGTCGGACATGTCCTTCTAGAGAATAGGTTTAAACATAGTATGGTGCTGATTTGTCGTGCTCGTCTTGCTGTCTTCGATGTTTGAAATTATTGTGCTTACGTTTTCTTACAGACTTCGCCTGCAGGAAGACACGCCCGACCTGACAGGAGGTGGATACCGCTGATCCTCCGCTGGCAAGGCTGGTTCCAGCCTGGCATTCATGCTCTATGAGCTCCTGGAGGAGCAACCCGCTGCTTGGTTCGCCCCAGACTTCCCTGTCCACTCCAGATGCTCACTGCACCCATGGAGCAGAAGTCATGGTCTCTGAGCAGCCCTGGGGTGCCGAGAAGCAGGATTGGATGTGCAAGCGTTTTATGTTTCGTGGCACTGGTGCTCATCTCATCAACTGGGGTTCGAATGAGCGTTGCTTGAAGTGCCTCATCCACAAGAGCTCTGCCTTGAAATGCAGTCGCCCGAAGCGTCGGAAGTTGGAGGAGGAAAACAAGCAAATCAAGCTGGGAGGTGGGTCAGGAGTTGGGGGTATTCAGTGATGACGAAGGCCTCAAGGAGGATCTTCGGGCATTGGAGAGGCATCTCAAGTGGCTGTCGGAGCTGTTGGCGCCTTCGGCAACGGCGCAAAGTGGCCTGGTCACAAACCACATCGATGAGCAGCGGAAGCAGGTCTGCGACAAGAAGCCCTTGCCAGCAGCGTGGCAGGCGTTGTCGAGACGGGACGGCCAGGTTGGGAAGCAAACGGAACGAGCTGGAATGGATCTTGGACAGGCGTGACCCATGCTCAGTGAAGCGGCGGCGGCGGCCAGCGGCGCGGAGAAGGCGTTGCAGGACCGCGACTCCGACGGCACAACGCTGGAGGACGGGCTGCGCACCGTGGCGGCGGAGAGTGACTCTGACGCTGATGAGGCGCGCTGACGAGAACACCCCAGTTCCAACGGACACGGAGCTGCACGAGGGCGAGTTGGCCACTAATGCCTGATAAGGTGGACGGCACCTCGGATTCGCTGGTGGCGGCGAGTGCATTCCATCAGGCTGCCAAGGACGGCAGCGGCGGTGGTGGGGGCAGCGACGGCGTGACGAAGGAGGAAGAGCTGGCGAAGGCGCCAAGATCGGCAAGGCTGGCTCTGTGTGGCAGCCTGGGGCCGAGGGCGTCAACAAGGTGCGCGAGATCATCAAGGAGTTCGTCACAAAACAGGCCACCAGCTGGGATGTGTTGGCGATGGCCAGGTCTTTGGCTTCTGCTGGGTACCGCCCACGTTGGTGACTATTGGCTGCCGCCGCAACCAGGCCACCGCTGGGCTGTATTCGGGAGCGTACCGCGGCGTCAAGTCAATCAAGGAGGCGACCGTTGGTGGGCTATTCTTTCCAGATGATGCCAGCCTCAATCTCAGTGAGTTCCGTAAGGGTGAGGAGGAGTGCCAGGAAATTTGTCTCCAAGTGATGGGTTGCGCGGCTGGTGCAGTGGAGGAGACGGGTCCAATCAGGGATCCGAGCGAAGTGCCAGATTCTGATGTTGCCCTTGACGTCCTTCGTCGGGGGGGCGATCGGCAGCAATTTCACTGTATGACGGCCGCCTCAGAGTCCACGATTTTGCCGTGCAGCTGCAACGCTTGGTCAACGTTCCAGACGCTCAAGGAGTGGAGCGTACTGGACCAGGGCCTCCAGGCAAACATCTACATGTTCCAGGAGTTGCGCCTCGATGCGGGGACCCCATCAAGAGAGCACAGGATTGTTCGAGGGCACGCGGCTATCGACTGGAGGCCCCAGCATGTGCGATGTCGGGCACGACGGCGTTATCCACCTCGACCAGGGTAGGTTTGTGCACCAGGGCTCATTTCTGGGTGCTCCAGTGGGCAGCGTGCTGGGGCTTTTGTGGGTAGCGTCCAGCGGGGGGGGGCGGAAGGATGGAGCACGAGAGAGATTAGCATGAGGGAGGAGGGGGGGGGCAGGAACATGATAAGCAGAACCAGACGGGGAGTGAATGGTGAGAAGGTCTCGAGCGTGAGCCCACATGGGGCCGCCGGATCATGTTACCCATCCGAGTGGGTCATCCAAAATTTGCAAGTGTCTTCACTGTTGGGGCTCCTGATGCCTGAACCTGGAGGGGGTCTCGAGCGGGGCCTCGTCCCTGAGTCTGTGGTCACGAAGTCTCTGGCGGGAGCAGCCCCCCTCCCTGTGGGACCCGCAGCGCACGCTCCTGATCCGAGCGGGGGCCATCCGAAACCTGCGGCTGTCTTCCCTTTTCCTCTCCCGGGGTCTGAGCCTGGAGGAAGGCTCGGGCAGGGGGCTCGACTCCGAGTGAGTTTGACGAGGTCTCGAGCGGGAGCCCCCCCCCCCCAATCGGGCCGCTGTGTGACGTTTCTGCTCCGAGCGGCGAGCGGGCCATCCCCAAACCTGCAAGGGTCATCACGCTTTCGGCTTCTACCCAAGGCCTGGGCCAGGAGAGGACGTCTCGAGCGGGAGCCCCCCCTCCTCCTGGGGCCGGCAGGTCGTGCTCCTCGTCTGGGAGGGCCCCCCAAACTTGCAGCTGTCGTCGCTCTCGAGCGCCCGCGGCGTGAGTGCAGAGAGCGTCTCCAGCGAGAGCCTCGTCTGTGAAGGAGTCGCGAGGAGGGTCTCTCCAGCGGGAACGCGCCCGGGTGTCCACACACACAAACACACACCCATGCTCGGATCCTATGGGGGCCGTCAGAACCGCGTGGCTAGTGAGACGCACTCATGCTCAGACGCGCTCATGTTCAGAAGGTTCTTCAAGAGGATTTCGGCATGCGCGCTCGACGACGCGCGGGTGCGCATTTCGCCATCAGGACCTATGCAGCTTCAGACGCACTCATTGACTCAACCTCTCGCGACATCAGACTCAATCGCCCGCATTCCATCACGACCAGACTCCTCCTTTCTGTTTCTGTCTTTCTCTCGCTCTCTCTCTCTTTTTTTTTTTTTTTTTCTCTCTCTCTCTCTGTCAGATTCACCCATACAGAGGCTCACTCGTGCGCATTGCTATGTCCATTCAGACCTACGCATGATCAGCGTCACGCGCACTCAGACTTACTCACACTCAGACTCTCTTTTTTGTTCTTGAAGTATACATCTCTCTTTCTCTCTTACACAACGCACACGCACACGCACACGCACGCACACACGCACCCACAACACACACACAACACACAACACACAACCCACAGCAGACACACACAACACACAAGACACAACGCAACACACAACACGCAAGACACAACACACAAAACACACACCACACACACCACACACACCACACTCACACGCACACACACACGTACACACACACTCTCGGCGGGTGCGGCCCCGCGCGCAGCTGCGAGACGGAGAAAAAGGGCGACCGTCAGAGCCACGCGCGGGCGACGGCCGGGCCCTTTCATGTCGCTCGGGATGCAATGCGCACCGATTTGCTCACGCTCCGACTGTCTCACCATCAGACGCGCGCATACAATCCGAGGCGAGAATTTCTACATGACCACCGCCTAGAGGATCAATTATCGGGGGCCTCGCAGGCGGTGGATGTGGACATATTCGGACTCCCGGGGGCCAACATGTATCCATATCCATCGCTCGCTGGGGCACCAGGACATCGTTTCCCAGGCGGTGGATATGGATAAATCCCCGACTCGCATACAAGGATTCACTTGTATTCAGACGCATTCGCTCGCACTTAATCACAATTGGACTCCTATTCACTCGGGCTCAATCACACCCGGCATCCAGACTCACTAACACTCAGGCAGACTCATGTGTATAGTTATTCCCGCTGAGATTTACTCATTTCCAGCCTCACTTGTACTCAAACTCACTAGGACTCACAGACGCTCCCACGCACTCCGATTCGCTCACACTCGAACTAATTATATGAACATGTGATGCCCTACCATCGGAGCAATTTCCAGAAATGAGAGTTCAACGCGACGCAACGTAACGCATCAACAACAATTATTCCGACGGAAGGGCCCGCATGAAGAACTTCTCAACGCGCATGGGAGTCATCATCATCGACGACGGCAGATGGTGACATGGTTGGGATGCCAGGGTACGAGGATGCGACCTGTGGGGCCGTTCCGACCTGTTGGGCCCGTCCTGTGAGATTTGTGGGCTGGGGGGGGGGGGCGGGGCGGGAGGGGGTGGCTTTCATGACTGCGGGGTCTGTGGGACCTGTGGGACCCCTGCGACCTGCGGGGCCTGTGCGACCTTCGGAGCTTGTGGGACCTGTGAGGCCCGTGGGACATATTGAACCTGTGGGGCCTGCGGGACCTGCGGGGCTTGTGGGACTTATGGGAGGGACTTGAGGAACTGTCTGGCCACCTGGAGCTTGTGGGAACTGTGGGGCCTGTGGGATCTGTGAGACCTGTGGAGTCCTTGGGGGTTGTGCGACCTGTGAGGGTACTTGGACCTGTGCGGCATGAGGGACCTGTGGGAGTTGCGAGCCTTGCGGGTCGTGTGGTACCTGTGAGACTTTGGGAATGTGTGAGAGACATGTGGAATCTGCGCGATGTGAAGGACCTTTAAAGTCAATGGAAAGTTTAGAACTTGTGCGACGTACGCGACCTGTGGGAACTGTGGGCCCAGCGGGACCTGTGGGGGACCTGTGGAATGTGTGGGATTGGTGGGACATGTTGTAACTGTGAGGCATGGGATCTGTGGGGCTTGAGGGACTCCAAAACAAACCCAGGACTGGAGATTTCCTCACGGTCCACTCACAGGCGAGGACCCTCGCTCTAGATTGCATCCAGTGTCAAACCTGGTAAGCCCAACAGTGACGACAGTTGCAGGGTTTGGATGACCCCGCTCGGATTTCAACATGAATGATAGGCAATGGGCTCCCGCTCGAGACTTCCTTGCACGATTTACTCAGGGGCGGGGCCCCGCTCGAGACCATGCTCGACGATTGTGATGATCGATGGTCATGCTGGTATGGTAATGGTGATGCTGATGGTCTAATGATGGTCATGGTGATGGTTGGTGTGACACATGGCGTTACGATGGAGATGACCGAGGGTCATGGTGCGGTGGTGGTGGGGATGGGGGTGGGGAAGGTTGTGCTGATGGTGCTGATGATGATGGTGGTGATGATGATGACGATGATGCGGCTGATGATGCTGATGACGACGATGGTGTGATGGTGACGGTGAGCGTGAAAGGAGGAGTGGAAGAAAGGGTGAGGTGCTCTTTCCTACACGGGGTGTCCCTAGAGAAAACAAGAATCCCGCGATGCACTCACAGACGAGACTCCCGCTCGAGACTTCCTCGACATTCGGGCCTGAGAAGCCCAAGCGTAATGACAGTGTCAGGGTTTGAGCGACCCGCTCGGATTCGTAACATGAAGCGCGGTCCCCACAGGGACGGGCTCCAGCTCGAGACTAACCGCATGCCGATGATAATAAAGGGACCCCCCCTTCAGTGTTTAGAGTTGATTATCGTCGCCCTATACAAAATTCAAATTGGGCGGCGAGCGCTGAGGCCGAACTTCATTATCACCTCGGAACGCTATGTTGATATAGCAACATCAAGCGATGTTGATATAGCAACATCAAGCGAAGCGATCACACTTTTTCAGGATGTGTCAAGCGACACCCATGTATGTATGTATCCCCGCGCGCGCCTGAACTTTTTTTATCTCTGGGGTTGATTATCCATGGAAAGGGGAGCACATGAGCTACCCTACATGAGCACTTTAAACAATCAGTTTTCATAAAGCGCTT